TTCTACATTAGGAAAATGTCACACAGATGGATGAAGTTGGGGGGACAGTGTAGTCACCCTCCCCACCTGCTTGCTGCCCAGAGGTTGTGTTGGCCACGGGGCTCCTGGCACGTTCGGGGAAGCGGCACAGATGCAGTTTCCTGCAGGAAGCGCGACCCAGGGAGGGCTGGGGAGATGGCGCTGACCGGCCTGACCCTGTCATGTGTCCTCCACAGCCCAGTGTCCGCTGAGGCCAGTCCGGGAAGCTGAGTCCTTGCCTCTGCCTGCCTGGGAGGAGGAGCCTGGGCATGGTCGGCATGGAAGACCTGGACGGACGGCGGCGGTCTGGCTGGTGCGTGTGAGGGACCTGGAGTTCGTCACCTGGAGGTGGCATTTCCTTCCATGCATCCTGTGCCACAGTGACCTGGGCTGTTGGTGCATTTGTCCTATATCTAACCTGTGTCTTACTTATAAAATCACGTGCTGAGCAGCTCTGTATCTGCCTGTGCCTGACACTGGTGCCGGTGAGGGAGCTGGAACCAGAGGGGGTTGTAGGCTCCCCCAGCTCCTGCACCGAGACCCGCTGGGATGGGTGGCCCCAGGGGGGACAGGCCCGGGACAGGCCGGTTGCAGCCTCCCGTGTGCTGTCCTGTCGCCACGTCCACCATGGCCTTGTTGGGCTTGCTCGTAGCCGCTGACAAGCTCTGAGCGACTCACATTACATGTCAGATGCTGCAGGGGCAGAGAAGGTGCCATGCCTCGGGGTGGGGGTGGGTGCCGTTCAGCGCCGCCTCCGGGTCTCTTTTGCAGCGTGGGTGGGGGCTGTCTTCCCTCCTCACCCCATTCTAGTGCCCAGCGCGCATGGCGGTCGCACGCACGTCACCTGCCCTCGTGCGGTTTCATTCAGTCAGAAAGAGCCAACCTGTGTTCTCAGAATCCCACCAGGACCAGTTCAGCCACACGGGGGACTTGTGACAGCAGCTCAAACCCTTGACGGAAGCAGGGCACGGTCAGTGGCTTCATAGATCTGCCGACGTGTGGCCTCCAGGATTGTCTGAACCTTTTCTTCATTTATCCAGAATGGGGTCCACACTCAGGGTTTCTGAAGCAAAGACAGGCTGCTTTTGTCCACATGGGCTGGCACTCATGCTGGCCTGTCCAGGGGCCAGTGAGGCCGACGTGTGTAAAGCTTCCCCACTTGAGCACCTGCGTGGCCAGTCTCAGTGCTGAGGGGTCAGGCCGCCTACTGCAGGAGCCTGTGTGTGGCAGGCTCCTGGTCCATCCCCACCCTTCCACCTGCTGCTTCACGGGTTGAGGTCTGGATGCAGGACAGATGTAGACGGGCAGGTAGAACATCTGAAGTGAAGTCGTCCAGCCACAGGCCCAGGACAGTGTTCCTGCACCTGGGCCACGGGACAGACCGCCCCTCCTGGGACGTGCGCGCCCACAGGTCCATGGCTGGAGGCCATGGTAGGTGTTGCTGGTACAATCCTGAGACGTGTTTTCCTGCTGCCTTTGCTAAGTGAGTTTCTCCTGCTCCAGTTGAGCCAGTGGACATGCCGGGATCGCCGACCTTCCCTGAGAGTGGAAGCCCATGTTAGTCTTGCGTGAGGTTTTAACTTTCATTTCATTTAAGCCTTAAAACATGTCTCCTCTTGAAAATAAGTAGAGTTTTTTCCATTTTCAATGGAAGAATAGCCAGAGGCCCCATAGCTGGTGGACGTTGTCACGTGGTGAGGGGTCCTGGATGGCCAGGCGGCCTCAGGCCACATGAGGCCACGCTGGTTGGAAGGCTCTCCTGCAGGGTGGCCACAGGAGGCCCCACTTGTATCCCTGCAGCAGACGGGGTCCACAGAGCAGCACCTAGACCTTGGCTGAGAAAACCAAGCAAGGAGCTTTTGAGAAGGAATACAATGAACTGTTTTTAGCATAATTTTAAAAAAACACCAAGATTCCAGAGACACGGTCTCTGAGACATGGAGACAGGCCAGTTTACCACGTTGATGATGCTGTGTCGTGAAGCAATTCTTCTTCCATTGCTGATCTACCTTCGCAACCCGAGGAAAACCAACAAAGCCGGCAGCGTCCAGCTGCCCCTGCACACCTTTGGCCATGGTCAGCACCTGTTCTCATCAGGCGCCTGGTGGCTGGGAACCTCCTCCTTCATTTGGAGCCCATCATCTGGGTCCAGGTGACAGATTTGTGGGGAGTCCCCCCTCATGATGACGTGGCCAGAAGCAGACAACAGCAGAGGTGGACATCGTGGAAAGCAGTGGTCTGAAGCAAGTCGGGGTGGGTGGACAGTGCTGGGCTGCCACCTGGTAGAGGGAGTGGCCAGGAGACACCACCACCACCACCACCCCCGAAAGGGGCAGAGAAGGGCACCTGTGGCCCCAGTGGGAGTGAGGTGGGTGGGTCTGAAGAGCCGCAAGAAGCCTCGTGCCTGAAACAGGATATGTGAGGGCAGCGGTGTGGCCGTGAGCATATGGCCATGTCCCAGACACAGAGTGAACCATCCCAGTGAGCAGGTCCCTGGCGTCCCCAGGATCCATGTCTGCTGAGCCCTGGAGGCTGGCTGGGAAGTGTGGATGTGATAGCATAAGGCCCAGGGCCAAATCTAGTAGCAGACCCCACATACAGCTGGGGCCCTAAATAGCTGTACCCTCAGCAGCAAGGAGAGTGAGAAGTAGGTCCCCACAGGAGCACACCTGTCTCAGTCTCTGCCTGGTGCTGGTGGAGGGGAATGTGATCACATTGGCGCCCGACCAGTGGTGCTGACAGACACTGGGAAGAGGAGGCAAACAAAACCCTCTCTGGAAGGATGCAGGCTGAGCCCTACAGAGAGAAGAACATAAGCTCACATCCCCAAATTGCACAAAATGCACAAAGAAACAAGGCACCATTAGCAAGACCTTAATAAAATCAGACCCCAAAAGACACAAAATATAAAATGAATTCAGTTTTGAAAAGGGTTAGAAATTATCAAGAGGAAATTAGCGGGGGAAAAGGCTCAATGGATGAATTAACCACCTAGACATGGCTGAAGAGAGAATTGGGGAACTGGAAGATCTGAAAGAGTTTTATCCAGAAAAACAACTGGAAAATATGAAAACAAAGTGAAGAGACACCAGAGAACCTGCCCTGTGTGCAGCTGGGGTCTCGGGAGACGGAGCCACATATTTGGTGATAGAAGCAAGATCCCAAACAGGACAAGCTCACGTCTGGACACGTTGCAGCAGAACTGCTGGGAGACTGGGTGGTCCGGGCAGCTGCCCCTCTTGGATGGCAACAGTGGACTTAACACTGGAATGAGATCCTCATCGAGCTGAGAGAAAACAATTCGCCTCGGCTGGACTGAAGCTAGTACAGCTGTCATTCAGGGAAGAACAAAATAGGTCGTTACAGATAAAACAAACCTCCTTAATGCCAGTGATGGTTTCCAATCTTGACACTGTTGACATTTGAGGTCAAATAATTCTTAGTTGTGGGGACCGTCCTGTGTGTTGCAGAATGTTTAGCAGCAACCTAGATGCCAGTAGCAAACCCCCTTCCCAGTTGTGATGACAGAAATATCTTCAGGCAGATTCTGGGGGCAGATTCTAGTGGATAAAGCTTAGGGATCATTTTCCTGCTGCCAGGTGAACGCAGGTGCAAGAGAGAATGTTGGGCAGAGAAAACTATAAACAACGACCATGTAACAAAAAGAATAACGGCTAATATGTAGATTTTTAAAAGCACGTAGAATTTCTTTTTAATGGACAATGGTAACATACAGTATAAAAATAAACATGCATTTTTAGAAGGTCCTGGAGTCCTGTAGCCAGAACACTGATCCTCTTGCCTCTGACCAACACCTCGTGTGCTTTGGGAAGGGTCTTCCGAGACGGCAGGCAGAGACCCCGATGCTTTTAAATCACCAAGGCGGGGAATTCTGACTCAGACATGACTCCACAATGAGGCCACTCCTGATTGTTCAAGCCCCCCGACCCTACTCGGACCCAGGAGTTACTGCCTTGTTCACATGAACTGTTAGGGCAGGGCTCCCATCAGTGGGAATCATCACTCAACTCCAGCATTGATGGCACCAATGATTCAACACATCAATGATTTGTTCTTGGATCAAGGAGACAGGCCCCCAGGGGTAGCAGCTGTGCGTCACCTTTAGGGAAAAGCCATTGGCCTCCTGGGACCGAGAGACCAAATGCACAAAGGGACAATTCCAGACCGTGTCTCAACATAGAACTGTGTAGCCACTGGTCCCCAGTGGCCAGGACGTGGTCACAACTGCCAGCTTCCCCAGTTCTAGCCATACATCCAGCTTAGGACCAACTGGAGGAGGAGACTCACTCGCCCGACCGCTCACGCCACGGCCCCCCCGCCCCCCGCCAGGCACAGCGGGGCGCCCCCCTCCGCCCGCCCCGCGAGGGGCCAGCTCCCCGCCAGACAAGCCGTGAGCACGCAGCCCCTGTCCCCGGGCTGGGCCTTGTCTAGTTCCATGTCTCTCACACATGCGGCCCCCACATGGCTGGAGCCAGCCACCCACTCAGACACGGACCAGACTTTCCACAGTGGCCAGAGCTGGGAACGAGGCAGGCGTTGGGGAGCCGTGCAGTGACTAGAACGAGTGACTAGAACGTCTGCCACAGACACAAGGGAGGCCCTCTGGGGAGGGTGCATTGTGTGGCCACGCCCTCCCCGAGGGCAGAGGAGCTGCTCCATGTCTCGGTCTGTGGTATCTGTACACATGTGTGGACACGTGTGAGATACACGGTGGGGTGTGGACAACACCCCTCAGGCGTGTGCTCACGGCTGTGTGCTTTACCACACGTAAACCACACCTGATAAGAACACTAAGACGCGCCCTCCTGGTGAAGGGGATTTGAGGGGCATCTGGGTGCCACCCTCCACCGGGCATGTTCCCCACTGGGGGCCACGGGGCCATCCTTCCCTACTTGCTCTCGACCCTGGGCTGTGGCTGCTGGGGGCCTCGTACATACCTGGGAGCAGCTGCCATGGGTCTGTCAGCTGAAGTGAAGGAAATCCCGGCCCTCCTGCAGGTGCAGCGACCTCAGATTGTCTTCAAATGCGCCCCCTGTGAGGTCCTGGGGGAGGAGCGACAGGTCTGGCTCTATCCAGGCCTCCCCTGGCCTGCACTGGGGACCCCAAGAGCCTCCCTTGGGGGCCTGGGGTTTGGGGTTGCCTGTGGCCACCTGTTAGGTGGTCCACTGTGAACTTCTGCTCCACTGCTAAAAGGAGAGGGTCCAGAAGGAGAAAAGTGCCGGAAGGGAACCTGTTGGCAGTTGGCCACAATGTCCCATAGGTCACCAGGGAGGCTGGGGGCAGGGGGTCCTCTGAGGTGCCTCCACCAGCCTCGCCTCGGCCCCTCCCTGCAGGAGGCAGCTGGCCCCCCACAGGGACTCGGGGGAGGAGGTGAGGCTCTCAAGGGCAGTCCCTTCTGCTCATCTCTTGGTCCAGGGCAGAGCCAGCTTCCCCTGTCCTGACTGATCCTGGGGTCTCCATGGTGGGCCCCTCGCCCCACCCCCATGGCCTCTGCAGGGCCACAGGTGGGAGGCAGCACTGGGGACAGAAACTGTGACCCAACAGCCAGCTGCTGGCAGAGCCCCTCCCGCCTCCCGCTCCGTACCCACCCCCATGGCTGAGACAGGAGGCAGCCCCTGCCCACGTCTTCCCTGTACCCTTGTTGGTGCGGGACTTGGGGACAGGTCCCCAAACTCTTCAGCTGGGCCCGTGCACTGGTGCTGCTTCGGCCGCCCTCCCGTGTGGGGCCACGGCGGGGCTTCGGGAGACATCTGCAGGCTCCTGTCCCTCGTCCCAGCGCCACCTGCCAGGTCCCTTCCTGCCTCCATAACCAGCGAAGCGGGGGCCTCTCTGCCAGGACGTGGGAGGGGCTGCCTGACCACCACACTCCTTCCTGTTGGGTGTCATCCGTCTGTCCTTGGGCCCAACATGGGGAATCACCCTTGTCCTGGGCTGTTTCTGCTCCTCTTACTGCTGTTACCTGCACTTTGCTACAAGTATTTAAATGAAAACCATTCTACCTGGGAAACACCTGACATTTCCACATTCTGTCCTCCACCTGCTGTCTGTTCTTAGCCCCCGTTTTCTCCTCCCATTATCTCTCTGCTTCCAAGTTTTCAAAGGAAATACACGTGGGTTCAGGGCCAGCCCAGCCACAGACCTGGGCTTGTAAAGGGGCCACCGGGAAGGTACTCATGTGTCCATGAGTGGACACACCCCCTTAAGAAAATTAAAAAGGTCAGACATGAAACCAACAAGGACTAGAACCCAGAGGGTACAGAGGACTCCTCGGGTCAGGAGAAGACACACAATCCCGTGGACAAGAAGCTGATCAGAAACATCAGGACACAGGAAATCCACACGCCCGACAGATGCGGGAAAGGTCTTGGTCTCAGCAGGGATCAGATGGAAATGAACCCCACCGTCCAGTCGTGAGGCCTAGAGGGACCCCTCCCTCCCTGCCTGGGTGTGTCCCCCCTGTCCTGGCCTCCTGGGCGTTGTCTAGTGAAGCAGAAGACATGGCTACCCCACGACCCGTGAAGA